AAGGACAAATTTTCAAAACCAACCCTTTTAGCATTTTATTTGCAAAAAACGACCTATTTTGAAAATAATTACAAAAACCGACCTGTTTTCAGCCCAGCGCTGAAAACAGGTCGGTTTTTGTAAAAAAGTCTCCGAAACATCACGGGAGTTCAACTCCCGTGAAGTTTATCGAGAAATTAAACTTCACGGGAGTTGAACTCCCGTGAAGCTTAATTTTGCTTAAAACTCCACGGGAGTTCAACTCCCGTGGAGTTTCAGTCGAAAATTTCCAGAGAGTGGATCTTCGGGAATTTTTGACTGCAACTTCACGGGAGTTGAACTCCCGTGAAGTTGCAGTCAAAAAATTCCCGAAGAACCGAGATCGGTTCGCTGGAAATTTTCGACTGTAACTCCACGGGAGTTGAACTCCCGTGGAGTTTTAAGCAAAATTAAGCTTCACGGGAGTTCAACTCCCGTGAAGTTTAATTTCTCGATAAACTTCACGGGAGTTGAACTCCCGTGATGTTTCGGAGACTTTTTTACAAAAACCGACCTGTTTTCAGCGCTGGGCTGAAAACAGGTCGGTTTTTGTAATTATTTTCAAAATAGGTCGTTTTTTGCAAATAAAATGCTAAAAGGGTTGGTTTTGAAAATTTGTCCATATCCGCTGTGGTATGGAACACTTGGCTTCTTTATTTCCTTTGATAAATTCATTAAAACTTTAGAAGGGTAGTCAATATAATTGCAATAAACTTACATAAATCATTTATTTATTTTCTTTAAAGCTACACAAAATGGATGAACACACGGTGTTTTCAGTTTGAATCTAATATGGACTAATAAGCATATTTATTTTGGAGAAAATTTGTGAATGTACAAGCATTTATGAAAGGGAAAATTGAAAAAGAAGTACAAAATGAGTTTACGCATTATAGTAGGACTTGTGTGCACCCCGTGCAAAGCACGACTCTCTTTTTTTGTTTTCGATACAGTAATCCTTTTTGAATGCTACGGTAATGATACACCATTCTATTTATGCTGCAGCAATAATAGTACAAAATAGTGAATCTTAGGATCCCTCCTATGAGTATAGAGGAGTAGACGATGTAGAACAAGAGAAATTAAGCCAATAAATGAGATACTTGAAATTCAGCAAAGAACTTAATTATGAATAAACCGCCGAAGTCTTCGCAATGGAAACATGTTACAGACTACCCAAGAACAGCAATGGTCATGCAATCACATACAAATTAACTCATTAATTCGGCTGCTTTATTTAATTTGGCATGTTTATGCATTAACAAAATGATCAAGGATTTACAATGAGTCCATCCTAATAACAGTTCTATTATTATCAGGCATCAGAAATATACTACACAAGAGTCGGTGACAAGAAATTGTTAACATCCTTTATTACAATGTCGATATGCAGTAATGGCCCTTCGGACGGATCTCAGCTTGAGGATAAAACCAGGATACTAACCTCGTGTTCATTGTCACAGGAGCTCTGCTTATACTGTACCATCATATACAAATACACTATTTTTATTTTCATGTATATGACATCAATATTCACGTATATTCAAGGATTCAGAGGATTTCTATAAACAACATGCTTTAATAACATCTTCCATATCCGGATCATCTCCAGCTTCTTTGTCCTGGCAAAATAGGATAAGTATCTTACATAAGTAAAATACATAAACAAATTCACACGCACACACACCAGCTTATTATAATTCTATATCTCTAACTTGACCAATGATATATAGGATATTGTCCATGCTACTGGAAACTGTTGTACTCAACATGTTAACTTTTTGCGGTTTTTTCCCCCTAGAAACCACCTTAAAATCGGGTTATTACACAGAAGCCGCATCTTATTTTCAATTTATACTTAAACCACCATTAAAGTGGATTTGTTATCCAATCAACCAAATCATATTCAAATTTTCACTAAATAATCGAAAATAACCTTAAAATGCACGTTGCACGTTTAAAGTATGTAACATGTATGCTAACTAAATCTAAACATTAACAAAGTGAGTCACATGTCATTAATGTGAGTTTTTAAGGATATTTATGGGTTTTCGGTGAAAAACTTGACTGGAAGGTGGCTGACTGGAACAAAAACCTACTTTAAAGGTGGTTTTAAGTACAAATTGAAAATGAAAGATGGTTTTTGTATAATGAGCATATTTTTAAGGTGGTTTCTAAGAAGAAACCCTAACTCTTTTACATGCTTCATGTATATTTCTCAACACTATCAAAACAACATTGAATTTCTTAGCATCAATACAATCTTGATTCACTACTTATCTTTGATGATCACAGGATGTACTCATTCATAGGCTTCATTAGGCGTAGTTATGAGGACAGGCTAAATAATTATAACAGACTATTAAATTTCTACTTCTTGTTTACTTAACTGAGTAGTTAACTACCATTTACAGTTGGGAAAGGAAAATCCGGCGGGCATGGTACAATTGATTTAAAAATTTAAGGCTTTTATTAAGGAAAACATAAAGAAGAAAATTTTAGTAGTAGGAAGACCAAATGACGCTAATCTCAGTGGAAACCAAATGCTGACCCTGTGGATATATGATATGTTACTCGTCCCAGGACCTGCTACAAGAAGTCCTCCTTGTTGCCTGAAAACCATACAAGTGTGCATAAAAAGGTCTGAAGTTATTAAAAAAACACAACTTAACAATAAAAGTTCTAAATGATGAAGAACATATGCTAAATGTAAAGAAGGAATGCTATTTTAAGTTCTCAATAATCGCCTAAATGCATTTAGAACCAATGAAATAGAAATAATTACTCATGAATGAAGATTCTTTGGTCCATGTTAAAGAATAACAACTTACCAACCACCTCTAGTCCTGGTGTCCTTTTCAAAAGAAAGCCCCCAGTCTTGCCTATATCCTTCCATATATGACTGTATGATCTTCAGACCAGCCTAAGATTTTTATGACTTAAAAGTTACAAATATAACATATTAATGGGGTATATCACTCACAATATTAATCCAGAAATGATATAAAAAACAATTGATTTTTTGAGAGAGAACAAGATTGCGCAATTGGATAATAGTTATCGAAAAGGTACCAATGGAGTAAATGTGGTTGATACACCATAAACGAAATTAAGTGCATTATATGATGAATGGTCTGGATCTGCATAAATTTCTGCATCAAAATACATAAACTTTTAAAATGATTGAGGATAAGAGAAAGAGTTGCATGATAATTAAGAATACATATAGATGGCATGGAACTAATGATAACTAATATGCTAAATCATTAAAAACATTAATACATACAGATGACATGGAACTAACAAAATTAGCATCCAACTTTTCGTCATTCTTAATCTCCTGAGAACTGGACCATCATTCTCATTTTTCAAGGGTTAAGTATGACTGATCAATGCAGGATTGACATTAGATAGCATCAAGTTAGTCAACTTGGAATATAGCCTATTTGAACAATTCTTAATACTAGCCCACCAATTAAACCTATTATGAAATTTACTCATTACTTATTTAGCCAATTTAACAATTTGTGTTATTGTATGATTAAGAATTGCCTAAGAAAGCCTACGACCTTATTCACATATTGATTAACTGAAAACTTCAATGCAGAAGGTAAAATTTTGCGACATGTACATCACTGTGGAAAAGCCTATTAATTTGGAAAAGCACACATGGAAGTATTTAGGTACAACAATATTACCTGGATATGACATAAGTAAATATCATCAATGAGTCTTCATATTTTGAAAAATGCACATAATTAATAACTAAAAAAATTTAAAACTATCCTCAATGAGTCTTCATATTTTGAAAAATGTACATAATCACGCATTAATAACACCATCAAGTATCAAATACACCTTCATCAATATGTTCAGTAAAGAACCATTGAGCCAATCATCTCTTAGATTAATAATACTGTCAGTGACAGCACCATTAGTAAGACTACCAATCATCCCTTGCAAGGATGGATCATTGGATCCCAAACTTTAGTCCAGATCCAGCTCTAAACGGAGGAGTATAATGTATTGTTGTTTAAGATCAAATAAGACTTAACTGAGATGTCAGACACCATGAATTATGATTACTAATGTTTGAGGGTGAAAATTGTAAGTGAGGTAGAAATACAAACTAAACATTGATTAGAGTGCAGATGGAATTGTTGGCCAATAATATGTTGAAAGGGCAAGTATTCAAGATTCAAGTTGTACTCGACCTAAAGCAAGGGTGGCTATCCACCTTGGAAGGAAGTGGGGTCACGTGACCCCACTTCCTCTAAGGTGGATCCACCACTGTAAAGATGGAAGCAAGACTTTTCATCTAAAGTTTATTGACTACCTCAGCATTTCAAACATTTAAATTATTACCATTACCATGAAAGACTAAGATTAGGTGATATACATTCTGCTATCATACCTCCAGGAAATTTGGTTTGCTCAGAAAATGTCTTTGCCTGTCGAACAAATATCACATTGTTAGAGCAAATACTGATTTTCAACGCACAAGTGGCAAATTACCACATTATTGCAGATTACCAAGCCAGTAAATTAAGACAAGTGGTGAATAAACACATTAAACATGAGAAGATGGATTAAGAAGGGCATACAAAATATGCACATGCATAAATTTGGACAAGCAATTAAGGATAAATGAAGTAAGGATTCTGGTCAAACCATAGAAGTCAGGAATGTGGTATGATATACCGAACCACAGGTTCAATCGTCCCAGATTCGCATGGAACACGCCCGATTCACCAATTCCAGCAACCCGATTTAGAATTCAAACCAGTTAATTTGTTTTAAAAAATAGCTCTTTTTAAAAGAATAAACAACAAAAACATAAGAAATTAAGAAATTAAACAGATAAAGTATGCATATCTTAATTGCAACATGATTCTCAAGGTTCTTTTACCATTACTGATATCAACTAGCATTTAATAACCAAACCTAAAGGCTACCATCTTTCCTAGTGTACCATAAAAGCCAACCCCCTCGTACCCCCATTCCTGATGAGTGGCGTACCACATTCTCGTACCCATCCCGTGAACCTAAACGAAAAGGGTTCCATGCAATTATGGGTCAAACTATACCTCTAGCATTTAGAGACGTCAAGAAGTACCTGATCAATGCTTCCAGGCCCAATTAAAACAAGTGCAACTCCAGCTGCATCAATCACCTCCTACAGTAAGCGCTTAAAACAATACAAATCAGCATGATTTATGTGGCTGCCTTTTGCAGTAGAATATTGAAATAGCGTAGATGTCTAAGTAAAGAATCAAATTCACTTCATTTTAAAAATAATTTCACTTCAGTCAACTAGAATGATCATAAACAGTAAACAATTTAGTGCTGGAACAATGACAAATGTAAGAACAAACTCCTCACTTGACAGCGTGGCATAATTTGCAAGTAAACACATAGACAACCTACTTAGTTGCAAGCGATTAAGATGGACAACACTTTGCCTTCAGCTTCAAGTGCCGAAGTTTGCATATATTGGAATATCTCGATCTGAGCCACTAGGTTTACCGATACAAACCATGAGAAAATAATTACTTATTTTTTTAAGAAACTTACCTCTCCATTAACACACATGAACCAACAAGATCAATGAAAATGATAAGGTTAATGCTCCCTTAAACTCCGAAGGAGAATATAGATTGTCAACTATTGCCAATACAAATATTTGTTTGCGGTTACACCATCTTCTATTGAAAAATGACAGCCGAAAACTTCTTCGGTGTAGAAATATAAGTCTCGGGTTTCAACAAGGCCCCTTCACATACCCATCTTGCAATAGACCAGAATGTTGGCTAGGGACTAGAAGCCGCATTAGGAAGTTAGCAAGCACGTTATTCATAATACAAAAGATCTCAGCAAGCATATTAACAAAGTCAAAGCTGAATGCATGGACAAGGTTTTATCTTGACTTGGACTCATGAACTCATTACAGGCCTATAAGGTATAACTTTTGGGTTCCAAACTGTAACTTTCAGTAGGTTATAAGGATGGTGTTGTATCACATCTCATCTCAACCCGACTATTAAATGACTTTTGTGGTCTCTACTAGTAAAAAACTCTCTCGGTGAGGTGAACTTATCTTTTTGATGAGGTTCTTTCCAATATTATTTTTTCATAGAGTCAGATACTATAACGTAAATTGAAGAAAATTGGAGTACATCCCCTGAAACAGAAGTTATAAAGATGCTGACATACAAAAATATGCCTTACCTGTGGGGTTCTCATGCACAGTTTTCACGTGTAATACTAGAGAAAATTACGAAGTTCGAATGAGGGAAACTTTTCAATTAAAATTATATCACTAGAACCTATCACAATGAACAAATAAAGCTCTTCTTGAACCCAAGAAACTATGAGGAATACTTCTACATATGGAGTGATTCTCCTCAGAAAAGTTGCATTTTTCTGAAAAAATCAGAATCCTTAGATTGTTCACAATTCCTATTCATTGGCTTGTGTAAGTTCACATTTTCAATGAACAGTTAACTCGAGATGACCAACAGAAACATCAAACTTCTACAACATTCAAACTTTACCTATAGTCTTGAAAATTCCACCAAAACGTAACCCAAATATTCATTGTAACACGAACCTTTTTCGATGCAAGAAGATCAGCCCTTTTCCGACAAAGAACACATCTGAGACAAACAAACAACCAATCAAAATTCATCCGTTTCACTGTAATTAAGAACAAATGTAAATAAAAATAAAAATAAAAATAAAAAATACCCAAAATGTCGAGCAAACGCAACTACAGCTTTCCTGCCTCTCCAAAGGTCGCTAATTTTAACTGCTTTTCCCTCCAAATCAAAAACGTTAACATTTTCCAATGAATTCGTCAACCCCTCAGAAGTGACAGCAGATGAGCCTCCTGCTGCAAAAATATGTAATTTTTTTTTAAAGAAAATTAGGGAGCTTTAAGTAAAGAATAATCTTGGAGGGCCATTTCGGGATTTGCGCACCGGGAGAAGCCGACGTGGCGGTGACCGGAGAGAGCAACCGGCTGCGCCGGTGGAGACGGTGAGTAGGAATGAAGTTAGGGCTTCGAATGAGGGGCGATGAGCGATGGCTATGGGTCGATGAAGGACACGTGGGAGTCGCCGGTGGAGATGGACGGAGTTTTTTTTTTTTTTTCTTTTTGGGTGGTGGCGGGCTTAAAGAGCGGGGGGAGTCTTCGAGGATGAAATTGTTGACAGCCCCTTCAAACTTTCTAGTTTTGATTTTTCTGTCCCTAAATGTTTCCTATTTTCGCACGTAGCGTCCTTCTTTGTAATTTTCAGCATAGTTTAAACGTTTAAATAACCATAAAAATGAAGGGAGGAAGAAAATCTTTTCGCCCATGTTTGGACTGATTATTATATTAAATTAACAATTTTTTATTTTTTAAAATAAAAATAGTAAAGTGTTTGGTTCAATTTTTTTGGGGACGTTAGGTGGGACTATTTAGTCTAACACGGGAGAGGAGGTGTTATTATAATCACGAGACTGATTTTCATTAAGGTTAGATCTAAAATGACTGACATCATCACCTCTTAACTTTCTAAAAATTATCAAAAATTTTATTCCCAATCATTTCCCTCGTCCACTTCGACTGCATATTAATAATCTCATTTGCATATCCCCACTTCGATTGTATACACCAATTAATCATCCTCGTTTGCATATTTAACTTCCCCTAAATTTAGGTATTTATTTACCTCCTGATATTTAGAATTAGCTTTTGCCAAAATGGTAATATCTAAAAATTACAACGTAGCTCCTAAAGAAATCAAAGAACACAAAGAGCCATAATCTGAAAACACAAGCAACCTCTTGAAATTTCCGAATATTACAACTAAAGAATTGAAATTAACAATACAAATAACCTCCAAAAAAATAAATCGTAACAACCCTCCAAAAACTTTGCAATTTCAAACAACACATGAAAATTAAAAAATAACAAACAACCCTCCAAAAAGTTTAAAAATTACAACTAACTCCCTAAAAACTTTCAAAATTAACAGAAACCCTTGAATTTTAAAAGTTACAAACAAATCCTAAGAACTTCAAAAATTATAAACAACCCCTTTAAAGTTTGAAAAATTACAAAAAAAACCTGGAAATATGAAAATTATAAACATACCATTTAGAAATATGAAATTTAAAAACAAACCCCTAAAAAACTGATTATGACAAGCAAACTCCAGGAACACTTTGCTGATATGTAGAAGGCATTGTAGATATTTATTGTTTTGTTTTACTCTTATACCCCTTATAATGACAAGTTCCCAAACATGACATGGGTGTTAAATGTATTAATAACAAATTGAACTAAACATATTGTTAAAATTTAATTCACTACAGTCTGTTACACTATTGTATCCCTAGATTATGGAGAGTTAAATTAATCTCAGGATTAAAAAAGTCCCTAATCCAAGAACAACCTTCCAGTAAATGGAGGAGAAACCGGAAGACAAGGAAGTTAATCGTCGATGTGTTCGTAGAGAACTTGTATTTGTATGGGATAGAATATGGTTAATTATTATGAAACCCTCTTTAATTTTAGCCACCTATTGTTAAAATATCTATCTATTATTCTATATTTGTAAAATGTTTTCATCGCATGATTTTACTTAATTGTGGATAAACTAATGCATATTATTATTTATTGGTTCTATTGCACTTAAATACCTAGAAGTCCCTGTACCCTGCACTTATATATCAACTTGATTTTGTCAACACTTATATATCTTAAAGCTTTTAAACTTTACACTTAAGTCTCTAATTTATGAAAATGTGAGAATTCTCTCGTAAAAATCCTAATGTGACATTCACATGCTAATTTAAAACTCTTTTAACTCTTAGTTTAAAAAGTTTATTATTAAAACTGCTATAATTCTATCTTAAATTTATCATACTTTTATTTTAAAATAGTTTAATAGTAAATTTAACAAATATTAAAAGTTAAAATGTCGTAAAATTGATATATGAGTGTTGCTTGAGAAATTTCTTTGGGGGGTTTTCATGTTCACATCGCTGAAGGTATGATAAGTGCAAATTTTAAAAGCTCTGGGTATATATGTGTTGCCAAAAACAATTAAGGGTATGCAAGTGCAATTTAAGGGAAACTATAGGATATTTAAGTGCATTTACGCCTTTATTGTTCATACAATTTTTAAAAATTATATTAAAATTGTTTATTCTACCATCAAGATAACTTTCGAGACTTAAACGGAATACTGCAACATATTCACTTGCTCACTTTAGTGCTTTGTAATAGAATGTTTTATACATGATTATCGTCTCATCTTGGTTGCATTATTAAGAACATTAAAGACGATGTAAGTTTCCATTGAAATTAACATATTTTTCTAGCTTTTCATAAAAAATATGCAATTATTCTCACAGAGAATAATAGTTGTTCTATATCTTATTTGGTAGAATAAACCAGATAAATGGTAAATAAATAATAAGTAAACCTAACATCTGTTGCGTGCTGTAATGAGCTTGATTAATGTGCTAAAAATTCTGATAAATTTAACAAGTGAATAACGAATTTTTTTAACGTGAGATATTGTCGGATATGAGATTTGTATGCATATATATAGAGAGATTAATGGGTATCCTTGTCATAGGAGGGGATTTCCTCCTTGACGCCTCTAAAATCACATGATTGAGCGACATTATGGATGATCCACTCCGTTGAACTTGATCTACATATTCTAAAACCCCAACACACCAAGTTTGGGGTGAATCCGTCGTCGTTTGACCCTCCATCGAGCCATGTGAAAAGTTTTATTCATTCAAAACCATTAAAATTGATACGAGTGGATGAAGGGTCAAACGACGACGGATTCACCCCCAACTTGGTGTGTTGGGGTTTTAGAATATGTAGATCAAGTTCAACGGAGTGGATCATCCATAATGTCGCTCAATCATGTGATTTTAGAGGCTCATTATCAAATTAGCTATTCAAATAAATGCATGGAGACGTGTACTTTTACCCGTTCCACTTGATTTAATAATGGATCTCTAAACACTCCCATTTGTAAAATGTTGTTAAAACTTTCTCTTCTTGCGTCTCCTTCTCTTTTTTATTTTATTATTACCACAATCCATGATAAAAAAAAATCAATGAAAATTGAGCCTAATCGCATGGAAACCTCTTTTATCTTTTGTTTTCTCACCTCTCTCACGCTCTTCTCAATTTTTACTGTTGGTAATTCGATTGATGCTCTCAATTCGTTGCCAACTCCACGCGCCGAAGAACCATGCAGGTAGTTAGAAATTTTGAATTTTCGTGTGTTTATTTTATTTTGAGTTGCGTTTAGAAAATGGATTGAATTTAAGGGCGTGTTTGGAACCCAAAAAAAAGAGGTTTTTTTTGGGTGAAAGCCTGACATTGTGTCAGACTTTCACTCAAAAAACCCAAATTTTTTTTTGTTCCAAACGCGTTCTTGGTGGCGGAAAATTTACATTTACGATATTGTTTATTTTTTTTTATTTAGGATTTTGTAAGAAAACTAGAGTTGATTAAAGAAAATAGTGATAAATTTAAAAAAAAAATTATGTTTTCAACGAAAGAAGAGAATATTCCTTTAAAATAAATTTATTTAAGTTAGAAATAAATTGATAAATTGATGATTTGATGGATATATATATATTCTTTAATTAGGGGGTGTTTGTTTTGATTTTTTTTTTGGGATTTCAAAATGGGATTTGAAATCCATAAATGATGTGGCTTTTAGGATTTGAAATCCATAAAGGGGGTTGTGTTTGCTTCAACAATATTTTGGGATTTGGAATGCTAAAACTTGTAATATTTTATTTGTTTCATCAATATTTTGGGATTTGGAATACTATAAATTATATATTATAATATTATATAAAATTTTAATAACATATATTATATAATATATTATATATATATATAATATTATAGATATATTATATATTATATATATAATATATAATATATATTGTAATATATAAATTATATATTATTTTATATAATTTATATAATTTATATTATATATATATATATATATATATTATATCTAATATATATAATATATAGGCTACAGTAATTTAGCTACAACATTTACTAACAGCATGCACATTGATATATAATAATATAATGTATAATATATATAAATAATATAATATATAATATAATATATATATAATATATATATATATATATATATATATATAATATATAATATTATATATTTAATATATAATATATATATTATATATATATATATATTATATAATATATATATATATATATATATATATATATTTATATATATATTATATTATAATTATTATATATTATATATATATTATATATTATATTATATATATATATATTATATATGATATATTTATATTATAATATAAGATAATATAATATTATATATACATATTATATATATCAATACTATATTATATATAAAAATTATAATATATATATACATATTATATATATATATAAATATATTTATATATATATTATTATTAGTATTATATAAAAATTATATATTATATATAATGATATATATATTATATTATATTATATATATATTATAGATTGATATATTTATATTATAATATATTAATTAATGATAATATTATATATAGATATTATATATATATATAAATTAATATAATATATATATAATATATGCTACAGTAATTTACTACAGCATGAACAGTGATATATAATATATAATATTTGTAATTATTATAATATACTATATTAATATATTAATATAATAAATAATATTATATGATTATATCTATATATATAATTTTGTATATATATATTATATTATATATATTTAATATATTATATATATATATATATATATATAATAATATATACTATACCTATATTATATATATATATAATATAATATTATATATATATATATATTAAAATTTATATATATATATATATATAGATGTATTATATTAAATATTATATTATTATAATATTATATATAATATATTAATCTTATATTAATCTTATATTATAAGCATTAATATATCAATATCCAACCCACATCCTCTCTCAAGTGTAGAATTTCACAAATGCCTAAATATAATAGTTTTTAATATTTTGGGATTTGATATCCCAAAATTGGTTTTGAAACAAACAAAGTTATCGATTTCTAAAACCTTATATCCCAAAAAAAAGATGGAAACAAGAGAGAGGATTTCACAAATCCTAATAAAATATTATTGTTTTATAATTTAGGGATTCAATATCCCAAAAAAAAGTGAAACAAACAAAGTTATGAATTTTTAAAACCACGAAAAAGCACTTTTTACATCACAAAACTATCATATCCCAAAAAAAAAGCAAAACAAACACCCCCTAAATAGAAAAAGTTTTGGAGCATAAATATTGAGAGAAAAAAGTAGAAGAAAAACACCGTTAATCGTCAGAAAATGAGATTCCGACCAATTTTTAGGGTTTCTCGATCTAATATAGGAACTGAATTGCGTCGATCATTCTCTCAAATTCATCCCACTCCTCAAAGGTTCCATTCCTCTTCTCCTTCAAACTCTGTCTTTTTTTTTCCCTGAATTTTTCTCGGTATCTATTTAATTGCAGGCCTTCATTTGGGATTGCTTTTGATATCGATGGGGTGATTCTTCGAGGCCAAACGCCAATTGGAGGTTCTCCTCAAGCTTTGAAAAGGCTCTATCATGATAACGGTACTCCATTAGGGTTCTCATGATTTCGATGTTTTCGAAGTGGAATTCAGTTAGAAATTTATCTTTTTTAGGCTTTCCATCTGCATTGCAGGTACCTTGAGGATTCCATTTCTGTTCTTAACCAATGGTGAGATTTCCACTCTGATTGGTTTTTATTTGTAAGCTTGCAATTGCACTATTTGAGTTATTATGTTTTACTAGGATACATTTTAGTTGGATAATTTAGTTGATAATAGTAAATATATGTGTATACATGTTCCATGTTTTGGTTCTAGGCCTTTTCAGATATTTGAATACTGCTTAATCTCCAGAAAATGTGGCAAATATGCTATCTTCTACATATTGCATGAGTTCCCCTTTGCGATGGAAGTGAAAGACAGCATAATTTATTGAAAACTTTTAAGAGGGAACCCCGGAAATGGAGGAATCATGGAAATGATAAGAAAATCTGAACGAGAATTTTGTATGATTAATAAATGAAAAGCTAAGTTCGTAAAATTTTAGAGCATGCAACCAAGGATGAACACAATAATGGCATGCAGGGTGTGTAGTAGAAAGGGAGAGGAAGTATATTAGGAAGAAGGGGTAATCCAACAACATCACATAAAAAATATAGCAAAAGAAAAAAAAACAATGAAAGCCATTAAAACACCAGTTAATGTTGGGAAGAATTCATTGCGAGGTTTGAAGAGAATGTCAAAATTTCAGGAGATAATAAAAGGTAAGGGGGAATTCAGAATCGGAAAATTCCTGTTTAAATTGAAGAAAGTGCCTAAGGAGGAGAAAGTTAAGGGGGAATTGTAAAGTTAAGCGTCAGCTTGGGTGGAATTGAATCATGTCGTGTACATAGCTGCATGTGCTGACATCTTTGTGGCTGCACATACTGATTTTATGTGGTAGATTGTGTGCACACTATTTTGCTTAGTGTATCTCATTTTGAACACTAATGAATTGTTGTTAAGCAGTACATTGTATAGCTGGCTTAATGCAATTTAATTTTGTAGGCTACTATAATTGTAGCCGCTATTGACCCCGTTTTTTCTGGGAAAAGCCTTGTTATGATGATTAGCATATGCTGTTAATTGCAATTCCATAAAAGTCATCACGGTTGAACTTAGTCTCTCATTGTTATGTTCCTTGATGCTTGTCATTGGCTTTTTCTGTTACTGAGTTGACTCATTTGTCTGTTCAAGCTCAACGCACTTGCTTAACCTATTTATGATGAATGCCATGGATTTTGCATTTTCTTGAACGAATTTTCTGATCATTCTTTATTAAATTATAGGAAAATTATTCTATGGCTCTAATTTTTTTTCTTTCTTTAATAGGAGGTGGTATTCCAGAATCAAAACGGGCTGTTGAATTAAGTAGTTTATTGGGAGTTCAAATTTTACCTTTACAGGTTTACACCATGAACCTCTTTCTTGTATGGGCATATATACTTGAATTCTTTCATGCACAAACTATTACATATATTCATTCGTCCGTATGAAAATCGGTGTCAATTTGTTCCATAAAGTGTAGGATTTGTATGTGTAGATCAGCAATTTGGAGCCTCTTATGAATAAATGTTCAAGCATGTTTCATTTAGGCTATGAACCTTGTTTAAGTGATGATTAGTGAGTCGATCCATATTCCTTAGCCATCGTCAGCATCCCATATCCATCTATCTGAGATGTTTTTTATCATTTAAAATAAATAAAGCTTATGAAATGCATGAAGCATATGATGCAATCTGTTGTGGCATTTCACATCGAACATGACAAATCTTTGTGCAAGCAGCAATATAGTTTGGTGTGGATGTATCATTATATCAGGCCATCGATTAAGGTCCATGACAGACTTCTTAATACATTAACAAGGCCAGTGGATAAGCTCTTTTATATCCCTCCTCCCTACATAATTATTTTTCGCATTTATGTTAACTTTTTTCTGCTGACATATGATGCAGGTTGTCCAGGGGGCTTCACCTTTCAAAGGACTGGCAAACAGGTACGGACAAGTTCTCAATGAGACCATTCTTTCATCCGAGTCTTATGTCTTAATGTGATAGACTTATTTGTATTTCTCTTCGGGTCTTCAGACCATCCGTATTTCCCATGAAGATAGGATTTCCCTTTATTTGGGTCAAATTTCAAGTACTATATTATGCTTCATATTTCTTCAGTTCTAAAGATTCTTTTCATCCTCCAATCTGCAGATTTGAAAATGAGCTTGTTATTGCCATTGGGAAAGGAGAACCTGCTGCTGTAATGTCGGAGTATGGCTTCAAGTGAGTTTTAAATTGGTGAAGTGTTACTTATTTAAGAGCTCAAATGCATAAGCAGAAAACTGTAGCATGCATAATATATCTTGATGTCTGTTTTCTGTCTGCAGAAAAGTTCTTTCCATAGATGAATATGCATCATACTTTGAAGACATTGATCCCTTGTCGCAGTTTAAATGCTGGGTTACTAGGCAAGCTAATGAGAAGAACACATCCAGGGAAGCACAATTGAGATACAATGTTTACTCTGAAAGAGTAAAAGGAGCATTTGTTGTTAGTGACCCCATTGATTGGGGAAGGGACATCCAGGTATAACCCTTTGTAACCAAAAACCTACATCTTTTAGGTGTATAATATTGATATACAACATGTTTTCTCTTTCTGCTTCTTTTTCTTTCTGGGGTTATCAAAGGTGAGAGGATGCCCTGGTTTTATAAAAAAGGAAGTTGTCATCATGGTTGATGAGTTATACTTCATGAGACTGCAAAGTTAACAGCCTCATAATCATCTGAATTTGATGGTTGGTTCAATATCTGAACAAGGACGGTAATAATCACATGTTGATGGTTGGTTCAACGTCGAAACAAGGACACAGACTCTCCAGTTGCTTAATAGAAGGCTAGCAAACAATGTTAGTCAAGATGGCCGGCCATAGAACCGGATGAGGATAAAGTCCATAGTAGTATTATGGGTCACTTTGTAGGTTAATAGTGCATGTAGCAAATGGTGTTAAAGATCCAACAGGAGATGATTAAATGGGAAAGAGATTTTTTTACATCTTTCCTTATATATATTATGCGAGGCACAAGAACCTTCTGTTGAAAACAAACTTCACAAAAATGTCTTATCTTAACCCTTCTTGTAGATATTCTTGTTATGAGCAGAGTTTTCATTAGGGATAAGCCTGACAGATGAGTTCGCGTAGTTTATCAGGATCAGGAGTTCTGTAAGTAAAGAGTTTCTTGTGGTGTTTGATATAAAATCACCGAGGTACCAAATGTTTTTTTTTTTCCTTTGCCTTGTGTGGTGGTGGTCATGAGCACATATCATGTTCAGATTGGACTCCTCAGACCGGTCCTCATCAGAATTCTTATGCTACTCTTTGTTGGATCCTTCTAGTTTGGCTGCTTTGTATGAAGGTTTCAGAGAAACAAGCATTGGGCATAAGCAATTTGGCTGATAGAAGATAAAGCTAAAGGCTATATATGGGTTTTTTAATCCAATTTATTTCTTAGAGTCTTGTTACGCTGGTCTTTTTCCCCCTTTTCTTTGGCATGTACCTGAACTTGGCATGAGCCATCACGTTGTTTGTATGCCTTGCACTTCTGCAGGTTCTTTGCGATGTTTTGAGATGTGAGGGTCTTCCTGGAAAAGATATAGGACATCAGCAACCTCCACTTTACTTTGCAGCAGATGATCTTGAATACCAGGTAAGATCAGGCTTTAATTTTTTTTCGTTTCCTAGTCCTGTATTGGCTATATTTTCATCCGCTGATATATGTGAAGCTTAAAGAAAAAAAAAATCTATGCATTAAATTTACTTATACTTTTGAGTTTTATAAAGAACCAAAGAAGCTGATTTCTATTGAAAATGTAGGACAGGCTGCATTTCCATCTGAACGTCTTGGAATGGGTGCTTTCAGGATAGCACTTGAAAGCATATTCAACAGGTAAATCTTTTACCATAACGTGTTTTATTCACTTTATCATGAGACAATGTGGAGCTTCATATAGTTATTCTACGTGCAGTATTCACAGTAGCCCTTTGAAGTTTACCTCCTTTGGGAAACCAAACCCATCTGTATTCAAGAATGCAGAAGCTATTCTTTCTCAGATCTTTTCGAATGTGTACCAAGATCAGGAAACTGAGGATGGAGTGAAAGGACATCAATTTGATACTATATATATGATTGGTGATAATCCTGCTGTTGATATTAATGGTGCCAGTAAGGTTTGTCTTGTAAACCCAGTAATTAGATGTATAAACCTTCACTTTTCCCTCCATAAAAGGGTGTATCTACCTATCTATTTTTATCAATTCAGGAGAATATAGATTCATGCAGAATACATACCATATTTGCATACTAAGATGATGGCTACCATCCATGTTAAGCATCTGAGACACAACCCTTCTCCATCAATTTTTACTATCTACCTACTCTTTTAATTTAAAATTGGAGAAATATATTGATGTATATTACTTACCATATCAGCATGATAAATTATGGCTATGCCCCATGCACATCTGAGACAACTTTTGTCCACCAATTGGATTTACCTTTTTAGCCAACTTCCAGCAAATGTTTGCACTTAAATGTACATAAAAATAAAAATACAGTACGTCATGCTGGAACAGAGAATTTAAAAAGGCATACAAAACTCGAGTACTGTGCCTCATTTATGTGTCTGACTTGTGTTTGAGATTCGATTGCAACTTTATGTTTAAAATATTGCCTAATGACCTCGTGATTGTGTCCTGCCTTATACTGATTTCAATCCCAGAATTATTGCTAGCGTTGAAGAAAACTTTGGGACCATCAGCTATAACTAAATTATCTCAACATATTAAGTGACTAAGTTTTCAGTCTGAAACCATACACTTTATTTTTTGTTAGTATGTTTGGCATGTTGGTAACAAAGAACTTAGTCCTCACTGATGCTGCATTGTTTGATTCCAGGCTGGACATCCCTGGTTTTCTATCCTTACAAGGACAGGGGTTTTCCGGGGAAAAGATAACCATGCAAAACATCCAGCAGACCTGGTAGGTCAAAATAATACTTTCTTTACAGTGAAACGTTGTTCCTTCATAGCTTATCACACTACTCTTATGCATGCGTACAAATACTGAATAGAATTACTCAAGGAATCATATCCAGAATTATATCAGGATTTTTGTAAATTTGTAAAAACTGTATTGAACTACAGAAAGATCCATTAGCTATATCCTTCTTACATTTGCTTTGCTGCTAAGTAACAATTACTTTTAGGTGATAATTTTTTGAGTCATGTTTCTGATATCCTGGAGGATTCGCAGTTGGATTTTAGTCATAAATATCATGCTTCATATTGGGATCCATTTTGTTTCTTGTCTTTTAAATATTTCTATGTTCCTTCTGGAGTGTATGGAGAGTCTCCCTTGGACAGCAGGTTTACTGAGACAGGAAAAATTGAGAATTTTATTTTCTGGGAAGGTTTTTGTAAGTATTTTTTTAATTCTAAGTTGATATTAATAAAGGTCTTCATTTGGTTGTGGTCACTTTTGTGTTAAGCATCTTTAGCTTTCTTATTCTATATCAAAATAATCAATTGGGAATCATCTCCCATATCAATGTTTGCTATCGGTAGCTTCAAACATCTTCGAAGAAATGATTATCGCTGATGAATAATGACAACGTTGATTTTAATTTGTAGATAGTACCACCGTAATCTGTCCCTTTTTTGTTTCCAAAGTGTTAGGTTGTGGAGGTCAAGGCTTCCTGACAGAATGACAATCTATAATCAGTTGTTTGACTTGTTTCTAATTTCAACCCAATGAATTGGTGCCTCCTCATTCCTAGACCAAGAAACTATAGAGACAAAAGGACCTTTTCATGAAGTATATACGAACTTTTGGTGGGTAAGAACCTACCTTATTGGTCATTTAAGCTGATAGAATCAAAGAGCAACTCTCCGTTATTCTCCTGGACTGGTGAGGCTTATAGAAGAATGGTAAAGATGGCTTATTTGATGTCAGCAATTACATCTGGCATTGAAACAGATACGAGACACACATACGAAAAGTTACGGGTGTGTTGATTATTGAAATCCTGAAAATCTAGAATATGGATACATATCTCATTGTTCATACCATCGTCACCAACAGATGTCTCTTTATCTCTAGTTGCATGGATTTCCTACAAGATAGTACTTCATAATTAGCATTTTAGTCTTGTCTCATGGTGTCATGTTTTTCTATACAAATTGGTTGAACTTTGTTGTTTCCAATCGTTTGTGTAATTTTTTTAAATTGACGTTTAAGCTTCTTTTAGTGAATCATAGTTATTTGTGTCCAAATAAATTTACGGTAATTTGCCGTTCGTGCAGGTAGTTGATACCGTTGAGGAGGCAATAGATTATATTCTTAAGAAGGAGCTCTCGTCACACTATTCATATTAGTCTCATTGTTCCAATGTTGAACCCAAGCTGAATATTATCCAGTTGCTGAATTTGATAACAGAAAAAGCAAAGAAAACTCTTCCGGGTAGATATTGTGATTACTTCATTTTCATGATTATTGTTTGGATAGAGGGGATTGGCATTCTTCTCGTACCATCAGAAAACTGTAATTATTTCATTTTCATTATTATTATTTTAAAAAAGGGAACGAGTGTTCCAGACTGGCTGCTAGATATTTGCATTTGCATTTGCTTTCAGATCATGATTATCCTTTCGAATGAAAAGGAACGATTGTTCCGTGCTTTATGTCAAAATGTTTTGCATGATGGTATCGTTTATTTTTTAGTTTGGACTTCACAATATATGTAGGTGCAAGTTCAAGAAAGCTCAAGGTTTGTGATCGTTATTCATTAAGGCTATGTTTGGTTTGAGAGAAAGGGAGAGAAAGGAAAGTAAAGTGTGAGAGAAAGTGAGTTTCTACTGTTTGCTTTGAAAGAAAATAAAAAGGAAAAATAAAATAAATTTTATTGTAGAAAAATCGGTATATTTTTTTCTTTCCTCTTTTCTCTCCGCTGCCCTAGTGAAAACGAGGGAGAACGACGGAAACGTCTTGCTCGTCGCCTCCAACCTCCCTCCAAAACTCGAGTCCTCGTTCTCTCGCCTCCTTGTTCTCTCCTCTCTCGCCTCCTCGTTCTCTCTTCTCTCTCTCTCTCTCTCTCTCTCTCTCTCGATCCATGGTTACCTAAACCCTAGTTTGACGCCGTCCAAACTCTCGATGCCGATCAAATCCCAGAACGACGCCAATCAAACCGTTGTTCAACTTCTCAGTTTCAACAGCAAAGCGACACTGTAGCTCTCCGTTCTGATTGTATTTTCTCAGATTTGCTGAAGATTCGAGTTCTCCTCTTAGATCTCTCTCCTGTGAAAATGAATCTAGCAAAGAAAAAACTCAATGATTCATAAGTTGAGGTAATTTTTCAAGATCTCTCTTTTTTAGTCAGTGCTCCTTTTTTCAAAGATCACAATGGCAGAAGTTTTAAGTAATATCTCTCCTTTTTCCTCTGTGGATGATCATGTAGATAAATATCGTAAGGTTATTACTTATTATTATGAGCAATACGTATAGTACAGAAAATGGTTGTCTAAAATGTAAATAACATTTTCTTTTGGTGTAAATATAATTTGAGTTATGGAATCTTGTAATATAATTCAAATGGGGATGTAAATTGGGGAATAAATTGCCGTTTGTTCCGTGGGGAACTGGAGGAAAGGGTATATGACTCTAGATTCGATAATGAAAACTTTGCCTGTAAGTGCTTTTTATCTTTGAATGATAAGTGTGAACGTGGGTCCCCATGCTCTTGCCCATGCTGTGAACAAGCATGGGGAACCGGCAGCTAACAAAAGCCAGGCTGTGAGGGTACAAGCATGGGACTTCTTGGCCATGCTATGAGGGTACAAGCATGGGAGGGCCATGCTCTCTTGATCAGCTCTCACTCCCTTCGGTTCCTATAAATAGGAGTGGAATTGAAGAGAGAGTTGTGTGGGGAAAATCTGGTGTGGGAAATTCTTGAGTGAGTAAGAAACTTGAGAGGAAAAGAAAAGAGAGAGGAAAAGAGAACTTGTAATAGTTTGATATTCTCCTCATAGTGAAACCCCCTCCGGTGGACGTAGGCAAGTTTGTCGAACCACGTAAATCTCGTGTTTGTATTATCTTAACTGTGAGTTGTCATTGCTTGTAAGTTCCCTCAACATTTCAGTCCTAGAACTGATGAGAGAAAGAGTGTATATTTCACTTTGTTAAAATATCTCACTTTTAATTCTTGTTTCCTTTGAGAAATAAGAATTTCACTATCTATTCTAGTTTCCTTTGAGAAACAAGAATATAGAGGTTGACTTGTGCTTTTATGATAACAAAAACCAGTGTTATCTCTCAGGTGATATCACTTCCGAGGCGTGAGAGCGTGACTCTGTGTCCAACAATTAGTATCAGAGCCCTTAAGAGTGTATATTTCACTTTGTTAAAATATCTCACTTTTAATTCTTGTTTCCTTTGAGAAATAAGAATTTCACTATCTATTCTAGTTTCCTTTGAGAAACAAGAATATAGAGGTTGACTTGTGCTTTTATGATAACAAAAACCAGTGTTATCTCTCAGGTGATATCACTTCCGAGGCGTGAGAGCGTGACTCTGTGTCCAACAATTAGTATCAGAGCCCTTATTCAGATTGGCGATGGTTGAGCTACTAATCTGAGGTGGTGGTTGATTATTGTGTGGTGAACACAAGATATTTGTTAAAATTCCTGAGAGAAGAGGATTTACTAAAACAAGCGGCGAATGGCGTCTACAAGTAAAACAGTTAAAGTTAGAAAGTACGAGATTGAAAAATTTAATGGGAAAAATAATTTTTTCTATTGGAGGATGCAGATGAAAAATTCATTGATTTCGTAAAAGTTGCACAAAGCTTTGGCGGGAAAAGAGAAGAAGCACAATGATATGTCTGATGAGGATTGGGAGGAGCTGGATCTGAAAGTACGGGCGTCGATTATTCTTTGCCTTGAAAGAGATGTAGCTTTCTTGGTAGATGGAGAGGAAATGGCTGCTGGCGTGTGGTTAAAGTTAGAGAGCACTTTCATGACGAAGAGTCTAACAAACCGGATCTATTTAAAATCCAAATTGTACACTTGCAAGATGGAGGAAGGCTCATCAATCCGGGAATACATCAACAAGTTCGATAGGATAATATCGGATTTAAAGGACATTGATGTGACTGTAGAAGACGAGGATCATGCGTTTCTACTACTTCTATCTCTGCCGAAGTCTTAAGAGAACCTGGTGCAAACACTGATGCTTCTGGGAGACAATTTGACGATGGATGAGACTAGAACGGCGCTTCTAGCGGATGATCTTCGGAAGATTGCAACCAGTGACATGACTACATGTGGTAACAAAGAATAAGTGCAGGGATTGTTTGCTAGAGGAAGGAGCAATGAGCGAGGAAAAAACAAGGGAGGAAAGTCTAGATCTAAATCGAGACCTCTTGCGGGAAGAACGTATTTCAAATGCGGTGAGGTCGACTGTCCAAATAAGAGAGTAGGTGGGAAGAAGAACAACAACAAGACTGAGAGGAGAGAAGGCATGGAAGAAGTGAGCTATGCTTCAGAGGAAGGGAGTGATAAAGAATGCTATGTCGTCACGGGTGGCGAGGATACCTTCGGGAAGTGGATACTTGATTCTGGTTGCTCTTACCACATGTGTCTAAATAGGAAGTGGTTTACTACCTATAGAAGCATTGATGGTGGAACCGTATTGATGGGGAATAATCATGCTTGTAAAACGGTGGGGTTAGGCGATATCAAGATCAAGATGTATGATGGAGTGGTTCGAACCTTGACGGATGTAAGGCACGTTCCCGACTTGCGGAAGAATCTTATCTCAGTTGGTGCTTTGGACTCCGGGGGTTGTAAGATTGTAACAGAGAACGGAGTGAAGAGGGTTGTTCGGGGTTCCTTAGTAGCGATGAAGGGCGTTCGTCATGGCAATCTATATACTCTCTTGGGTACGACAGTGACAGAAGATGCATCGGTTGAAACTGATGGAAGTGGTGGAGACCCATGTGAGCACACACGGTTATGACATAGGCGGTTTGGGTACATGTCAGAGAAGGGTCTGGATCTGCTTGGTAAGGAGAGTTTGCTGAAGAATCTGAAGAAGCCTTGCATGGATTTTTTTCGAGGACTGTGTGTATGGAAAGGCGCACAGGGTTCAATTTCTGAGAAGCAATCACAAGAGCAGAGGGATTCTAGATTATGTGCACACGGATGTTTGGGATCCGGCTTCGACAACTTCTAAGGGTGGTTCCAGATATTTTGTCTCATTCATAGATGATCATTCGAGATATGCTTGGATTTATTTTTTGAAGCATAAGAATGAGGTATTTGAGACATTCAAGAAGTGGAAGGCGATGGTTGAGAACAGGATAGGAAAAAAAATTAAAGACATTGAGATCTGATAACGGTACAAAGTATACAGATGGTGTCTTTAAAGAGTTCTGTGATCAGGAGGGGATTGCCAGACATTGGACAATTAGATCTACACCATAGCAAAATGGGGTCGCGAAGAGACTGAACCGAACACTGCGGGAGAAAGCAGTGAGTATGCGATCTTATGCTGGTTTGGGCAAAGAATGGTGGGCAGAGTCGATTGCTACAGCTTGCTATATAGTGAATCGATCTTCACATTCGACATTGGACGGTGATACACCCTATCGGGTGTGGTCAGGGGAACATGCAGATTATGAGAGGCTCCGAATCTTTGAGTGTACCGCCTACTATCACGTCAACGAGGGATAGCTTAACGCGAGGGCCAAGAAGGTAATTTTCTTGGGGTATGCAAAGGGTGTAAAAGGCTATCGCATTTGGTGTACAGAAGATTCAAAGTTCGTGATCAGCAGAGACGTTACTTTTGATGAGAAGTCCATGATTTCTAGGGTGCCTAAGGATGATGGTGTTGAGACTGTTGGGAATTCTAAGTCCTAGGTTATTGATATAGAACCTAAAGACCAATCAGGATCTAGTCATGTTCAAGTGAGAAATCAGGTAGATGATGAGCTTGAGCAGGAGGAGGTTCAGCACTACAACAACAGCAGCTCGAGGATAGCTTGGCTTCCACTAGGCCAAGGCGAGCATACAAGTAGGTACAGAAGCTAGGGGTTGATCAACCCCTGAAACACTATAGGCAGGTTAATTTGGTTGAGTACGTACTTTCGGTGGAGGAAGATGAGCCGGTCTCCTTCAAGAAAGCTATTCAGGATAGAGATAGTGAGAGTTGGTTGGCTACGATGGAGGAGGAGATAAAATCTCTTCGGAAGAATCAAACATGGGAGGTGATCCCATTACCCGTAGAAAAAAAAGCTATAGGTTGTAAGTGGCTGTATAAAAGAAAGGAAGATCCTTCAGAACTCGGTGGTACGAGGTACAAGGCGAGGCTAGTGGCTAAGGGATTTGCACAAAGAGAGGGTATGAATAACAATGAGATATTTTCTCTGGTGGTGAAACACACTTCTATTCGGGTGCTATTGAGTATTGTTGCTCTTGGTGATCTTGAGCTGGAACAACTCGACGTCAAGACGGCCTTCTTGCACGGAGACTTGGATGAAGAGATCTATATGCATCAACCGGAGGGCTATAAGGTTGAGGATAAGGAGCATCATGTATGTCGCTTGAGGAAGTCACTCTATGGATTGAAGCAATCTCCTCGGCAGTGGTACAAGCGATTTGACTCCTTCATGCTGAAGCATGGATTTTCCCGAAGCGATTATGATTGTTGTGTTTACATTCGGAAGCTTCGTGGAGGTGATTATATCTATCTTCTTTTGTATGTGGAGGACATGCTTATTGCATCGAAGAACAAAGTGGAGATAGACTAAAATCTCAACTTGGTAAAGAGTTCGAGATGAAGGACATGAGCGCTACAAGAAAAATACTGGGAATGGAGATTAGAAGAGAGCGGGCGAATCGACGATTGTTCTTGAGTCAGAAGGGTTACATAGAGTGGGTGATCGCAAGGTTCGGGATGCAAAGTACAAAGTCGGTGGCGACTCCATTGGCTTCACATTTCAGGCTCTCAGGTAAACAATCTCCCACTACAGTGGAAGATAAGGCATACATGGAGCGTGTTCCTTATGCTAGTGCAGTTGGCAGTTTTATGTATGCCATAGTGTGTACACGTCCAGATATTTCACAGGCGGTTAGTGTGGTCAGCAGGTTCATGGCGAATCTGGGAAATGCGCACTGGGAAGCGGTGAAATATGTCCTAAGGTACTTGAAAGGTACCGCGGATACGGGTCCTGGGAAGTGGTGGAGACTATGTTGGAGTATAGTTGCAGAACTATGGTTAGCTTGATCCCGGTGGAGGGTACGTAGGCAGCCGTGGTATAGTGACGCAACTGGTTTGGCCTGGATCTCTCTGGTGAAGTTCGTGGTGTTCTCCTGATGTTCGTCCAAAATTTGAGGTTTATCAAATGATGTATGAGGTGGAGAATTGTGAACGTGGGTCCCCATGCTCTTACCCATGTTGTGAACAAGCATGGGGAACCGGCAGCTAACAAAAGCTAGGCTGTGAGGGTACAAGCATGGGAGTTCTTGGCCATGCTATGAGGGTACAAGCATGGGAGGGCCATGCTCTCTTGATCGGCCCTCACTCCCTTCGGTTCCTATAAATAGGAGTGGAATTGAAGAGAGAGTTGTGTGGGGAAAATCTGGTGTGGGAAATTCTTGAGTGAGTGAGAAACTTGAGAGGAAAAGAAAAGAGAGAGGAAGAGAGAACTTATAATAGTTTGATATTCTCCTCATAGTGAAACCTCCCTCCCGTGGACGTAGGCAAGTTTGTCGAACCACGTAAATCTCGTGTTTGTATTATCTTAACTGTAAGTTGCCATTGCTTGTAGGTTCCCTTGACATTTCAGTCCTAGAACTGATGAGAGGAAGAGTGTATATTTCACTTTGTTGAAATATCTCACTTTCGATTCTTGTTTCCTTTGAGAAATAAGAATTTCACTATCTATTATAGTTTTCTTTGAGAAACAAGAATATAGAGGTTGACTTGTGCTTTTGTGATAACAAAAGCCAATGCTATCTCTCAGGTGATATCGCTTCCGAGGCGTGAGGGCGTGACTTTGCGTCCATCAATAAGAAATTCTATAGCTAATAGCCACTGTTAGTTGACTTGGATTTAGTGCAGTTTAATTTCACACCTGCGCATGACTAGTTTTACAATCAACTGTGTTCCATATGTGTTATACAAGTTCTTTACAATGAATTATCTTTCTGCTTGTCTTTCATGACTTCCTCCATAGATTACAATTGTACTGCTATGTTTTGTATGTCGATCTTTTCTCGAGAAAAACTTCACCTCGCATGCACATGTATTTTCTGTTTGTTCAAAATCCTCGATTGTTTTTCTAAGGCTGTGACGCATGGGGTCCTGAAAATCAAAATTCATAATGCTTACTTCTCCTTGTATTTTGTTCAATTGTAGCTCATTTAAGTGCAAATATAAAGAATAGGGTATAATTTCTGAAAGTAACTTTAGATCAGCCAACACTTGATCTCTGCTTATAGGTACTAGAAACAGATTACTGTTATATTGTTGAAAATGGTATCATGATTCATCTTTCTGAAAACATCCACGGCTTGATACAACATGCAACAGGACCTCCACGCACACAAACTGAAAATTTCACTATGTTTTATGCACAAACTGAATATCTCACTATGTTTTATAACATCTAAATTTGGATTATGTAATGTTCTCCATTGTGATAGAGTTATGTCATACTGATGTTGTTGCTGTTTTGTTTATGCTTTGTTCTCTTTTTGTTTTCTCAGTTTGCTTCCTATTTTTAATGCTAAAGTGGTGTATCAATTTCTGTGAATCATGGAATTAGGGGATGGTTGTTTAGGATCCTCTTGTTTCTTGTATTTTGTCTTATGCTGATAGGTGGTACATCTGTTTGATTCAAAGTCTCTATACGCAGTTTATTCTTCTTGGTTTCTCATGTTGGTGCAATTAGTAAAATTCGTGAGTCTTTCTTGATTAGCATGCTTATGGAGTCCTCGATCTAACTGATAAATTGAGGAAAAGTAAACTGGTAATTGCTCAGTATTGTGCGTGTGCAGTTACTGATGAGCAGTCGCTCATCTGTTAGCTCAATGCAAAAGAGTTACTGAAAATTTGTTTATTTCGCAATGCAATAGAGCAGGTCTCAGCTTGTGTTCAATGAATACAAGTTCTGCCAAAACATCTCTTATAGGAGATGGGATCATGTGATGGCTTTTCCTTGGAAGGGTTTTATCACTGTCATTTTTCTTCTTTTGGTTTAGCTAACATATAGTAGTTATATTCTGCATATACTTTGCTAATTTTCTTTTGTTGTGTTATCTTGTGTTCTTTTTAGATTTATTACTTACACTATGCTGCTATATTATTTGCCTGGAGCAGTTATGGTTCGGTTTTGTGATATATCCTTCTGCTACTCTGTTGTTTATGCTTAGACCCTGAGGTCTGGTGTTGATATTTGCTTAGATGATTGAATTGTTGGCTAACTTATATACTGCTGAGAATGTGAATTCACACAAATATTTTGGTTTACTTCTAAGTTATAACTATATTGGAGCTTATGTTGGTTTATAGGCAAAAGTGTAGGAATCTTTCTTCATTGTGATAGAGAGTTATGTCAGTTTACTCTTATTAGGTCAATTGTATATGCACACGACACAGGTTTGAGTGCATGATGCACATCATTAGGTTACCAATTCATTGGAGGAAAAGGTGGTTGGAGATTAAGCTTGGATGGGCATCACACAATCTTGGTACCGGTACTAGGAGGTAATTTAATTTACACTCTAATTACATGTTTGCATTTACCATCTAGTTCATAAGTTTAAGATATAATGACAAAAAAAACTGACTTACATTCCTTTGCCTAATATAAAAGCCGTCTTGCCTTTCATATTTATTCCAGACGAAGACATTAAATTTAGTTAAAATGCCAAGTTAGTATTGTTTGACATTGTTGATTTACCTGCAGAAAATAGCTTTCGGTAAACTCTGGCTTGTGAATCAGCGTACTATGACAGATTATTGCAAAAAAATATTCAAGATTGCTATTAAGTTTCTTTCTGATACAACCTATTCCCTGTTTATGTGGTACCCAAATGAGTGCTGAGCTCACATCTTCGTTTATGTTTTACTTTTTACTGTGTTAGATATAATTTGTAGCGGATTTTGTCTGCGGACCTTTATATCAGCATTATAGCCTGTCAGTTTTACATAATTTGCTGCATGATTAGTCTTTTGGTGCCAGTATCCAACTTCAGCTAGAATTATTAAGGATTAGATTTTTGGCTTGCTAGTGTTACACTATTTCTGCTCTCATCTTTATTTTTCTTTTATTCACATGCCTTCCCTGGACCTTCCATATATTATCCTCTTAAAAATGTAGTTTCAGCAATGAATTAAGTTTCTCACACACCAAAGAATCAGAAGTTCAGTTTGTTTAAATTGCTGCAGATGTTGGTGTTTTATGTTGTTTTGTTTATCATGCTTGAGAATTGAAGTTTTTCGGGTTTAGAACATCTGTTGCCAAGAGGGTTCAACCTGTAAAACCGAATGTCAAAGTTGGGTTATATGTATTGTTATCAAAAATTGTGACCATCTTTGTGCACTGATTAAATTATTTTGTGCAAAATATATTTGTGATGCGGAGAGATCACCATCATTAAATTAACGTTTGTACGCTACTTACCTTTCATATATCCATCATGTTGTAGTGTATTTTCAGATAATCATATGTTGTCTTTCTTGCTGGTTAGATTTTTCAACAGTTATTGTATATACAAACTTACCAAAAGAATGTTAAGACTTCATTTTATAGGTTTTTGATGTTTATATTCTACTTACTTGAATTTTTTTAAATTAATTTTAGAGGATGAAAGATGCGAGATTGATGTTTTGATGGGCTCACTAAAGTCAAAACCAAGGACTTCGGCATATTTTTCTCTCTCTCTTTGGTTAATATTCTCTATATATAAAATTGATTGTAATAAACTTTGTTGGTTAAGATTTTCTATATGAAATTGATTGTAATAGACTTTGTGACTAGAAATGGATTATACTTTATATTAGGAATATCATGACATTTACTTTAGATTTGTTTTGGTTCTTTCATTGACCTTTCTGTCTGCAAATATTATGTTTGAGAAATGTTGTTCTTTAATTAGCAGAATTGTGGTTGTGCTTCTGCTTGTTAATATTTTCAAACTCGATGTTGATGGCCACTCAAGTTTTTGTGTTAGGAAATTGCCATTTTTTTTGAATACATATTTATTAACTTGTTACTTCCCAAGATATGACTGATACTAATTTTGAATAATTATGCTTGAATTGCATCATTGTGTAGAGCTTAATCGGAATCATCTTTCTTCACTTGAGGTTATGAATAACTTGCAAGTCTAAGACCATGTAAGATTATATGCAAATTTAGAGTCGTCGTAAATTTGACTAAATTTTATTGAGTTAAGATTGTGCAAACATGTTCGGTAACTTGTAAATTTTTTGAAAATATGATAGAACCACAATTTAATTTAATTATTTTTTGTAAATTATTTAAAATCTAAATCTAATTCCAAAAAGTATGAATTAAAATTATGTTGTGATAATTTTCTTTATTTTTTTCTCAGAAAGGTAACCAAACAAGAGAAAATGATTTTCTTATGAATTTTCTTCTAATTTTCCTTATAATATTCTTTCTAACCAAACAATAAAAAGAATGTCATTTTCTTTTCTTTTTCTTTTCCTTTCTTTTTTACTTTCTCTTTCTTTTTCTTTTCTCTCCCTTTCTCTCAAACCGAACATAACATAGCCTAAAAGATGTCCTCCTGAAGGATATTAATTGTTGTCTCAATTTGTTTTATGATTGTAACATGTTTGGTTAGTTAAAAGTTAAAGAATGGTTGATCTTCATGGTTTCTATGAAGATTCTTTGCGTGATAAAACACGATAATTTATGGAAGTTATAAATAGAGCTGATATAGTTGTTCGAGCGTTCGAGAGTGTTTAGGGGATAGGGGTTAGTGTTGGATTAGGCGTAGGGTAAAGCTCGAAAACCACATTTGCATATTGACATTCCAAATCTGTATATGTGCAGATTTACACCTCAAATCAACCATAAAGTGGGGGAAGGGTGGGTGAATATTTTTTTCCCCTAGAGTATTCTCGTACATTAGTTTTGCAGCTAACCTTTTCACCATTGAAAATTCACCATTGAGACCGTTAGAGTCTGCTTCATCTCTAGGTCACTACTGGTATAAACGTTGAATCTATGTGATTTTTAGTCTCCATACAATTTTGAGTACACAGATCGCAATGAACAATGTGGGTCATTAAATCTCTATCGCCAAACATGTATTTTTAAGGAAAAATTTGCAAAATAGACATATTTTGCTAAATATTTAGCAAAACAGACCGTTTTGCTAAATATTTAGCAGAATCGACATCTTTTTGGTCAACATGCCAAAAAGATATCGATTTTGCTAAACAGACCATTCGAAACATACATGACTAGTAGTCCCGTACGAATTAATCCCCCATTAAATCATACAGGACTATTATTCCCGTATGTTTCGAATGGTCTGTTTTGCAAAATCGACCTCTTTTTGACGGACAAATTTTTAAAAGCACCACTTTTTCATTTTTATATAGCAAAATCGACCCCTTCATTTTTTAATCTGCAAAACCGACCCTTTTCAAAAGAAAAGGGTCGGTTTTGGAGCGGAGTTCATTTTCGAACTACACGGGACTACTAGTCCCGTGTAGTTCAGCCAAGAATTGAAATGCACGGGACTGCTAGTCCCGTGCATTTGATTGTTGTTAGCAGTTCACCATATCTTCCTCCTCCTAGCTAAGCTAAGCTAAACAAGGGAGCACTTCATCTTCGAGTACCGCGGAGCCAAGGCCCTCATCGCCGAGCAGTCGCATCGCCGGCTCCATCACTCCTTTCCGGGTCGAACTCCGACGTCCTCTCTCCTCAACCATTAAGGTGCACGTGACGCTGAGGCGGGAGCACATGGGGCCTGGAGAGAACAGTGATTTGACGAGCGGGTTGTAGCAGGGAGCGGGGGGAAGAGGAACCCGAGCGCGGGTGTGAATGCGGGTCAGGGTTCGAACAACAAGGAGCTGCACATGTTCGTATAGAGTTCGAGTGCTTCGCCGGGGTCGAAGACTAATTTGAAGAATGCGGTGAATAGAGCTGCTTCTGCTGATTTTGGAGCTTTGATCGGTTAATGTCAAACGTGAAAATAACCACGTTATGGACGCGGTGGTGCAATGTGTTGGCCTTCTTGTTTTGATAATGATTTACAAACAATTTACTACTAATGTTGTTTGTCTAGTGTTTGTACATTCTTATGTATTATAGACAAACAACGTTGTTGGAGGATGGATGGAATAGAGCTTCAACGATCATATCCAAAGGAGGTTGGCGGAATGTCGGTGAAGCCTTGCTATTCAAAGTTCAAGATCCAAGTTCAAGCTTCATCCGCGGTTTCTATGTATATATATAGTTATATATATACATGCATGGTTTTGGGTTTTTATGTTTTGAACACTTTTGCAAAATAATGAGATTTCACAATTGGGAAATGCAAATTGGAAAATTCTTTTTGTAACATGTTCAAAATATCATTTGCAAACATTTCTCAAAGTTTCATCAAGTTTGGAATTGATTTGTTATGTTTAATGGAATTTACAAAATCATGTTTTTGTTCGTGCACATGTTCGTGCATGTTTTACAAAACAGATGAGTTTTTATAAATGGGAAGTGATATTCAAGAAATTCTTTCTTTGACATGTTTATCTACATGTTTAGAAACTTTCCTCAAAAGTTTACTATTTTTGGAGTTGATTTACTGTGCCTAATTGATTTTACAAAATCGTGTATCACAGTAGATTTTTAGAAACTGTATTTCTATGTTCAAACATTTATTTCTCTCAACTGGGAAATGATTTTTCAGAAATTATTTCTCTAACATGTTTTTATACATGTCTAGAACCTTCCCTAAAAATTTCATAATTTTTGGAGCTGGTTTACTATTTTTAACCGGTTTTATAAAATCGGATATACCTGCTACAGTACCGCCGGTCGACCGAAATTTTCCGCCGGTCGACCGACGAACTCTCTGGATGTCTCCTGAGTTTCTGACCTTGTTCGCGGTCGACCGCGATTTTCATCGGTCAACCGCTGGAGTCCCAACGGCTCTTTTTAGAGCCGTTGAAGATGGTTTTTTGGTCTTTTGACTTGGGATTTTTGGCTAAGCAAACCAAGAAGTTTTTAAAACAAAAGTTTAATAAGGGTTTAAGCTTGGTTAGTTTGTTTTAAGTTTGGGGTTTTACAAAGAGGAGCTTACATCAGTTGTTGAAGAGTTCATCTTTAATATTTCATCATCCTCTCTTTGTATTTATAGAGAATTTTTTCTAACTCTTTTCTCTAGCAATTTTATTATTGATTTTCATATTCTTATTATTGCTAGTTTGCTATTTGAGTTAGATTTTATTATATCTCATTGTTACACACACCCACTTGAGCTTTTAGTATTTACATACATAGTATAGTTGGGTGGTGAGAGATTGTAACTTTGAGTTGTGCTTTCATTGTGTTCTCATCTATTGTAGAGAACAAATTTATATTTGTTACATTGTGAGTGTTGTAAGGTTTTCGGTGAGCTAGAAACCGAGTGTGTAGTGAGGTTTTCGGTGAGCTAGAAACCGAGTGTGAGGAGTGACGTTGATCGGTGAACGTTGAAAACCGACATTGTGAGGGTGAGTGTGAACGTTGATCGGTGAGCGTTGAAAACCGACACTGTGAGGTGTAAACGTTATTCGGGTGAGCGTAGAAAACCCGGTTGTGATAGTGGATTTCTCCCCGGGAGTGGGGAGCGGAGACGTAGGACGGAAGGTCCGAACTCCGTGATCATATCTTGTGTTTGAGTGTGCTTTGGCGTTTATTTATACTTGTGTTTATATTTCTTGTCGTCATAGTCATTAGCTCATTATTTATATGATCCACTATCTAGTTCATATTGTTTACCCTTGTGTTAGTTTCATCTCCTTGCATATATCACATTGCCTATATCTCTTTGTTAGGATATATCTTATTGTTTATATCGCTTATCCTAGCTCATATTCATTGTTGTATTTCATACTTGCTAGGATAGCTTGTTAATTAATTTTAATTGGCATTTAATCAGATTAGATTAGCATAAGACCCTAATCCCCCCCCCTCTAGGGTCTAACAATCAGAGCTTGGTGCTCTTTGATTTAAGGTCTAATCGCCTTGAGTTAAAGATCCAAGTTATTTTTTATGCTAATCTTGTTTTGATTGCATTTGTCTTGCTTGCACACATATATTTATCATGAACATGAATTGTGCACCTTTGTTAGGCTATGAATCCAATGTTGCTCCTAAATTCATTAACTTTCCCTATGCACAATGGGCTTCTAGATTTAAACTTTTTGTGCAATCTAAAAATATTGATCTATGGGGAATTATTGATAATGCTTATATTGTACCCACTATAGAGAAATCCAAGTGGAGCAAAAATGACAAAAGATTGTTTACCATGAACAAGATTGTGTTAGAATATATGCATAATGCACTTGATTCCTCTATTTCTAACAAGCTTGTTTCCTTTGATAGTGCTTACAAATTGTGGACATTCATAGAAGCACATCATGGTAACTTGGAAGAGATCCAAAGGATTCCGGCGGATTCTTCCTCAAGTAATATTGGAGCTTTATCATGCACACGGCCACTAGGCGATAGCCCTAGTGAGGTTTGCAAGTTCGAAACCATTAATGATTTACCTAATGATGAACTTGCTTGTGCTAGTGAAAAATTATTACATGCCTTTAACAAATTGAAAAATGATTTCATTAATTTACAAAGCAAGCATGAAATTTTGAAATCCGATCATGAGTTGTTAGCATCTAAGTTTGAAACTATTTCTAATGAAAATGTGATCCTTAAAGAAAACAATGAAAAATTAAAATTGGATCATGTTTCTTTAACTTCAAACGTTGCTAGTTTAACTCATGAAAGAGATAATGCCATGTTAGAAGTAAAGAACATACAAAATAATACTGCTTCCTTTA